TGGCCTCCTGCCAGTTGTCCGAGCTGATGAGCCAGCCCCTTCGGGATCGGGGTGTCGGTGCAGCCCGAAAGGACACGTTTTCCTGGGATCCCTGGCCTCAAAGCCGTTGTCAGCCCGGGCGTAGCGGGCGACTGGGGAGTGCGGCGACCTGGGTGGAAGCTCGCCCGGGAAGCGGTTTGAAAACCCACGGCAGTTTTCGTGGGTGGAGTTTCCCGCGTTGTGCACTGAATGCAGTGTGCGCACTGTTGCCCGTAGAACACCCGATTTCTTTTCTGAAAACACGTAAATGAAAGGCACATTTTAAACTTGTTTTCTATCTTTGTTGCAGAAGACGATCAGAGGAAAAATCTTCAGTAGCTGCAACGGGAAAGCCCAAAAGGGAAGTTGAGGTCGATAATACTGAAGGTGCTGTTTTGGGAAAGAAGCCAAAATTGGAGGATGTTGTATCAGAAGATGCTAAGTAAGTGCCCACCTTAATGTGTAAGGAAACCACAGCAAGACATAGTTAGCTATATGCCAGTTGTGAATAGTCAATGTGAGTAGGTTTGCCATGTTTCCATATGAAGGTGAATTTTCACGTGAAGTTGATTTTCCATTATCCGTATAAGTGAAGGTGTGCTGGTAGTACAGCTTCAGCAGCCATGAGCACTGGGTACATTTGAAATAATTTTGCAGACAGATATGCAAGTGCAGTATGAAATGTTCATGTATTTGTGTTTACTGCGTATGGATTGGTGGTTCTTGGTCAAAGCCATCGTATTGATTTCGGGCATGTAGCAGGAGAGGAGCTGTGAGGCAGATGGGATGAGTCAGGCCTCCTGTGTACCACACCACTGAAAAAGATAATTGACTTGGGATACAGGAAGAAAAATTTGACCAAGGAGACAGAAACAAGGCTTTTGAGGGATGTAAAATTGTAACTGCAGAAAATATTTGGAATCCTGAGTACAGACGTGCTTTCAAAATTGAGCACAAATGGCAGGTATATGACATGGAGCAGAGGAGTATACTTGGGCGTGTCGAGAGCTGGGGAGATAGGCAGCTGAAGGGAAGCCAGAATGCCGTTTCTATGCTTTAAGATCTGTATGTCTGTCCCTCTTTTCTTTCCAGAACTTCATGGCAGGTACTATGAGGGGTTTTGAAAACATATTGAAGGGACAGTGCAGGCACTTTGTCACCTTAATGTATCTTAAGAGATTGTTGGGAACTTGGAAGTTATTGTTGGTTCGGAAAATGATGAGGATGGTTCATGGAATGAAAATTCATCCAGAGCTGCCAAATGCAGATGTATACCTCCTAGCTGAAGATGTAGAAAACGCTACTACAGAAATAAAAATTATGTGCTTGCTATGTTCTTGTACTTTTCTCCAGGTGAGGTATTATTACCCTCTGTCAGACAGAATTTTGGTCTGTATTGTCATTTGGTCTTGCATGATGATTTTTCTGAAGTTCAAGGTAATATTTTCTGTGAGAAAGTCATAAGAAGGCTTCTCAGAACAATGTAAACAAAGGGTACCTGGATAGAAGCAGAACAGAACCACAGTCAATATTTTAAGTCAGTTTCTGTGTATAGTGGTCTCAGTAAAATGTATACTTACCCTGTGCTGGTTTTAGCTGGGACAGAGTTAGCTCTTCCTTTCAGCAGCTAGAAGAGCCCTGTGTTTTGGTTTTACTCAGAGGCTCGCTCTGAGAAGAATGCCGATAGTGCACGGATGTTTATAGTTGGCACTGAGGTCTCAAGGACTTTTCAGCTGCCGTGTTCTTGCCAGTGTGCAGGAGCACAACAGGATAGGGGGGGAGCATGGCCGTGACTGTGGGTCCACGACTCTCCTTATGATTTGTACTTAGGATTGAGGGCCAAACTGGGCAGTGAAGTATTCCATATCATGCAGTGTCATGCCCAGGATAAAAGTGAGGGTCAGCCGGAAAGAAGGGTCTTTGCTCTTCCAGGGCTCTCATTCTTGGACTCTGGGAGTGCTCTCTCTCCTTTTTTTGTGCCTCTCGCTCATCTGGGATTGTGGTGTCGGGACTTATCTCTTTTGGGATCATTAGTTTGGGACGAGATGGGTCTTGGTCAAGGGGTGGTGAGCAATTACACCATAAATCACTCATTCATATGTATTTATTATATTTATATATTATTGGTAGTGGTATTAAATTGTTCTTATCTCAGCCCATGGGTCTCTTTTCTTTTTCTTCTTTAATTCCCTTCCTTATCCCCGGGGAGTGGGGGAGGGTGAGTGAGCGGCTGTGTGGAGTTTAGTTCCTGGAGTGGCTCAAACCACGACATGCCCACAGTAGCTTACTAACTATGTCAAAACTATCAGAAAAAAACACACTGTTTTATGCAGTGAGACTGGTAAAGAAAAGAGGGGTCTTGTCTTCACACAGCTGCTGGGGATGCTTCAGGCTGCTGTTATTCAGTGTCATGACTATTAGCAGGAATACAGGTCTTGAATTTTGCTTTGTTGTATATCATAAAAAAAATCACAATCAGAAAATTTCATGTGAACAAATGTGATTCAAGTGCTGTTTTGTGGTGCAGGTTTTTAAGCTGTTACAAATCCCAAAGCAGCAACTGAAGTAGATTTATACAGTAGCAAAATTTGAACACTTACAGGTATCCTTGGTCCTAGTAGTAGTCTCTGCCAACTGTCTGTTTTGAGTTTCTGCGTCCTTTTTTAATGTTGCAATTAAAGTAGAGGTGAAGTTCAACATTTTCACATTTATAAAGAAAACAGGATTTTTAATTACCTTTCTGGCAATCCTAACTCATATGTTTTTAGTCTGGCAGACCTGATGCCTCAAGTAAAAGTGCAAGCTGTGGAAACTGTTGAAGGTTGTACACACGAGGTGAGTGCAGTGAAAAGTGTGAAGAGTATAGGCTCGTTTCATAGAATTATGTGTCTTATTGCCAGTATAATAGTATTATTTGTTGTGCTTGTACTTGTTATATCGTAGTAACATAGAATCATTTCAGTTGGAAAAGACTCTTAAGATCGAGTCCAACTATAAACCTAACACTACCGAGTCCCACTAAAGCATGTCCCTAAAAGACTCTTAAGATCATTGAGTCCAACTATAAACCTAACACTACCGAGTCCCACTAAACCATGTCCCTAAAAGACTCTTAAGATCATTGAGTCCAACTATAAACCTAACACTACCGAGTCCCACTAAACCATGTCCCTAAGCACCACATCTACACACACCTTTTAAAAACCGCCAGGGATGGTGCCTCAACCTCTTCCCTTGGCAGCCTGTTCCAGTGGTTGATAACCATTTTGGTGAATACATGTTTCCTAATATCCAATCTAAACCTCTGGTGCAACTTGAGGCTGTTTCCTCTCGTCCTGTCACTTGCTACTTGGGAGAAGAGACCCACACTCACCTCGCTACAACCTCCTTTCGAGTTGTTGTACAGAGCAATAAGGTCTCCCCTCAGCCTCCTTTTCTCCAGCCAAAACAAGCCCAGTTCCTTCAGCTGCTCCTCATAAATCTTGTGCTCTAGACTTTTCACCAGCTTTGTTGCCCTTCTTTGGACACATTCCAGCACCTCAGTGTCTTTGTGGTAGTGAAGGGCCCAAAACTGAACACACTATTCGAGGTGTGATCTCACCAGTGCCAAGTACGGGAGGACAACCACTTCCCTAGTCCTGCTGGCCACACTAGTTCTGATACAAGCCAGGATGCTATTGGTCTCCTTGGCCACCTGGGCACACTGCTGGCTCATACTCAGCTGGCTATCAACCAATACCCCTACATCCTTTTCCACCAGACAGCTTTCCAGCCATTCTCCCCCAAGCCTGTAGTGTTGCATGGGGTTATTTGGACCCAAGTGCAGGACCTGGCACTTGTCCTGGTTGAACCTCATACAATTGGCCTCGGCCCCTCAATCCACCCTCCTCAGATCCCTTTGTAGAGCCTTCCTACTCTTAATCAGAGATACTGTTTCATAATATATTTAAGGTAGAACAGTCTTGTAAAGAGTTTGGGGTCTGTATCTGACATTGAGCATGCAAAAAATGCATTTGAAAAATTTATAGGATATCTTACCAGAAGCAATGTGAATGATGCTTGCAGCAGAATGAGTGATTGTGAAAGACTCAATGATAACGTTGACAGGTTTCCATATTAGAAAGGTGCCAAGCACATTCGCAGTACTGTTGTTGAGGAGAAAAACCTCCTGGTGGTTAAAATAGGTCTGAGTTCATAGCGTGATCTAAATGTGCACCAATGCGTTGAAATATTTTGCTGTTCTGGTTCAAGAATGAAAGACTGTCTTGTAAGGCTGATTGCTGTTGAAAATTACATTTTGGTAAAAAAGGAAACAAGTCTCTTTATGTAAAAGCAAAATAAAACCATTTTCAAACTGTTAATAGACATAAATACAATTTAAAATATGAAAAATGAGAAGTATTAAAGCTGATTTATTTTCTTTAATCGTCCTTCATTCAAAGATGATTGTCAGAAAGAGTTTCTATGATAATTAAATATGCAAATTTTAACTTCTTTGTACTTTTATGCTCATTTTCTTTTCTGTGCTGTCTTCCAGAACTAGCTCAAGTTAATTAGGGTAACATTCAAGGACCCTGTATGATTAGTCCTTTGTGATGAAAGAACTGTGTATACAATTAACGATACAGGTTTTAAAGCCCATGCATCCGTACAATCTTTGTTATCTTGAGATTTCTGGTAGAGGTTTGTCATTCATCTCCTGCCCCAGCTCTTTATAGCTTGCTATGTCACTGGAGTGGACATTGAGAATTCTGCAACTGTTCTTATTTAAAATGTGTTTTATAGGTCGCACTTCCGGCAGATGAGGTCTTCACAGGTCTGAAGCCAAGAACTGGAAAAGCTGCAAAAGTATGTGATAGATGATAGATTGCGTTTATTTTTATTTTCGCACATGCTTTAGACAGTAGATGAGGATAGAGGGAAAAATGATGTACTTTGTCAGTAAGGCTTGGAACATAGTGTCTTGAAAAGGTGGCCTGTTGTGAGTAAGATTGGTGCTTCTGTATTTTAAATTTGGTTGAGTAAAATAACATAGTTGAATGGGGTGGATAGGCTGTTGTGATTTCAACTCTGTTCCGCAAGATTAGGCGGTGACTTGAGTTGTACACTGTAGTTTCTCTTTCTAAATGAATAAGTTAGAGGAAATTCAGTCATTGAGGCAAGATTTTCACTTGATAGGACAAGACATAAACAAAGATCTTAGGTGTGGTATTAGCTAGAATTATTTAAATACAAAGTCATTACAAAATACTAGATTAAAATCAGTTGAAGTTACAAACGTCTACAGGATTTCATTTCTGCCTGTAATTTGCAGACTAGATCAGTCACAAAATTAATTAGATATAAGTAACAGTCTGTGTTAAAAATGTGTAATGTTTTTGCTTTCTTTCCTTTTAGGAATATCCGTTCATTCTTGATGCCTTTCAGAGGGAAGCTATTCTTTGTGTAGATAATAACCAGTCTGTGTTAGTGTCAGCTCATACATCAGCTGGTAAAACCGTTTGTGCGGAGTAAGTAATTTTCTGACAGGCTCTAGTAAAAGAACGGTGTGATGTTTGTCGTGTCATTTTGTTGAACCGTCAGCAGCTGTTTTGACTCAGTTTCTGCATACAAAGTTTGGACTATCAGTGTTAGAATCGAATTGACTACATTTGAACATAAAAATAACTTCTTTAATCTTTTTTAGTGGATAGTGAAAGGCTTAATTCCTGTTTAAACTTGCTTTTATTTTTAAACAGTCTGATTTTGTTGAGATGTTTTTGTATAGATGGAAAGGGAAGTTTCTGCAATGCAGGTTGCATGAATTTAGAAAAAAAAGCCTTTGTTTTCTGGCCCTGGCTATAACTAATAAGGAGTTTCTTGTGTGTTTGCTTTGCTTTGTCAGAAGCACTGGTTTGATTTAATTTGCAACTTGGTGTTTATCTGGCAAGAGATGTTTAAAAGATAGTGTGTGTTTTTTTTCAGGGTTTGGTCTGACAGTGGGGTGGCTTTGCTGCCCTGAGCTGAGAAGTGAGATGTACACATAGATATATTGGAGAATGGGTTCAAATAGTAATAGTTTGTTGTGAGACAGTGACAATTAGATTTTTAAATTAAACTAGATGTGCTCTGATATCCATAAAAATCACTTAACTTCTCAGTGATTTGTTGCTTTCCAAAGAGGCGTGCATAGTTGTGTTAGGATTGCATTGAACTTAATAATCTAAATAAGAAATGCTTCATGTGATTCTACTGGTGTTCCGAATTGCATGTTTTATTTTACCTTTTTAAGCAGAAGATTAGAGGAAGGTAATACGCTCTGAAAGTCTTCCTGACAACTTTTAATATGTACAATGTTTGAATACAGGTATGCAATTGCTCTGGCTTTGAGGGAGAAACAGCGTGTGATATTCACAAGTCCAATTAAAGCTTTGAGTAATCAGAAGTACCGTGAGATGTATGAAGAGTTTCAGGATGTTGGTTTGATGACTGGGGATGTCACCATTAATCCTACAGCTTCTTGTCTGGTAATGACAACTGAGGTAAGATCAGACATTAATTTTTGATCTGTCTCCGTTTCCTTCTACCTCTTTTGATTGAGAAGGTCTAATATTAAAAGATTGAAGTTACCATAATAAGCCAAATTAGGGTGTAAAATGTTATAAAGTTCATTGTGTCTCCCTTAAATGTTTTGACTTTCAGACTATCAGTCAGGAACTTTCATTCTCACATGGAGAAAGGCAGAACTCAATTTCCTGAATGCTCAAGACACTGAGTTTTCTTTGGATAGGTGTGAAGTACTGAAAGTCTGTCAGACTTACTGAATCCGCTAGGGTCAGTGGGAAACAAAATGGGGAGAGAAATATCACTGAGTGATAGTTGAGTGGTTCACTATAGATGTTAGTACTCCAGGAATATACAGCTTTTCCCTTAACAAAATACTTGTAGCGCAGTTTCGTCATATTTCTGTTGTAGAAATCTGTCCAGCCACGAGTTGGAATCTTGTTTTTTGTCTTTACCTCAAAGGAGTAAAGACTCTTAGGGAGAAAACTCTGGTGGGAAAAGATTGGAGTGGAGAGACAGGATGACTTGATTTCTGACAAAGGATTTCCTCTTAATCACAGAGAGATGATCTATTTGGAATGAGGGACTAAGAAGGCTTGGCAGAAGTACATCTGTAAATCTGTAACAACTATGCTGCCACATAGAGGCTGGGAGAAAAATAATGCTTTTTGTTTCATGTTCCTTCACCGTTCTTGCAGGGAAAACAGTTAATCTCGTGTAAGAGATTTGTTAGATTGGAATCAACTTGGAAAGCATCTCACAGCCTGTCTTTAAATGCTTTTAGATTCTGTGCAAAATAAGATTACGTATTGCCATGTAAATGGAACCAAAAATTCTAGCAGTTTCTTACTGACATCTCTGTAACATGTGACTGTTGTTATTTCATGTGATGGATCTCGATTTGGTTTTTTCTCCTTTTCTAGATTTTGAGAAGTATGCTCTACAGAGGTTCTGAGGTTATGCGAGAAGTTGCGTGGGTTATTTTTGATGAAATCCACTACATGAGAGATTCAGGTATCCCATATGTACAAATTTTTTTTTCAATAAATCTTTTTTTTTTTTTTTCTTTGAAGAACAATTTTTTTTTCTTTTGAAGAATTAAATCTTTATTCTCTCTCTTAAAATCGGTCGTCTTTGTGTATAAGTTATTCAGAATTTGTTTCTTACTGAACACGTATAATATACTGTGTGCCACAGCCTGCATTTTCTTTTCCGAGGCAAAAGCCGCTTTGAGGGCATTTGATAGTCATAGGGGAGACTTCTTTCAGATTTTGTTTTATTTTATCTTTAAGTGTACTGTTCTTTGACTTCAGAGCTGGAAAGTAGACTTTAATCACATAAATTTCCAATGTTACACTTCCATTTTCAGAACGTGGTGTGGTTTGGGAAGAGACAATTATTTTGCTCCCTGACAATGTTCATTATGTGTTCCTTTCTGCAACAATTCCAAATGCCCGTCAGTTTGCTGAGTGGATCTGCCATCTTCACAAACAGGTGATGTTTCTGAAGGTGCTATACCTCCATCCTTGTTGTCTTGTGGCATAATATTGTCTCTGTGGTTGATGACAACTGAACTGTTGAGTGCCTTTTTAGTCATCTTCTTATTGCTTATAAATGATGGTAGAGATCACTCCTGGCTTCTTGGTTGTACTCCTGTCTTTGGCAACTGTACTGGCTGTTGGTTCTACATAGCAACATTAAAGCTCTTCCTTTCAAGTTTATTTTCCACACTTATTTAGGCACCAGCTTGATTTCAACATTCTGAATTAGAAACATAGTGAAAGTACTATAATTTTCAGAGGGCTGATAGACAAGAGGTTGTCAAAAGTAAATCCTAAATCCATAGGAAATAATATATATGCATGCAAATAAATTACAAAATGAGGAATGAAAGAAATCTGTCCTGTCCTGTAACCATTAGGTTTATTTTTTTCTGATTTTGTAAGAGACACTGCTGCAGCAAAGAATATAGGAATTAGAATTAGGGAAGTTAATATCCACAAGAGGGTGATCCGATTATAAAAATACCCCAGAGACTGATACTTATGTTGTTTGTGATAAAAGGAGTGAATTATAAGAGATGTCTAGGCTTGGCACAAAAACTTGACTTTGTTTTGCGGAACACTAGACTATGATTATGTTTTTTTAAGTGGATATACATTATAATTGATGTTTTAAAGCAAGTGTTTGATTTACTCTTTTTCTAAACAAGCTTTGTCCATGCATTAAAACATTACATGTTTTTAATACTGTGAGCCTTTTTTAGGTAGTGTAAGAAATACTGCAGGCTTTTTTACTAAATAAAAATTAACAATTTTTCCTATGGTTTTAAAGGGTGGTAGGACTTTGAGTCCTGTCATAAAAGAGAAGGAAATATTACCTGTTGTTTAAACATTTATGTGTATGCTGTTCTTTCTTTATAGCCTTGCCATGTGATTTACACTGACTATCGACCCACTCCACTGCAGCATTATATATTCCCAGCAGGAGGAGATGGACTCCATCTGGTGGTTGATGAAAATGTAAGGAATATTCGATTTGTGTGAAAGATTTTTTTCCTCGCCTATCAGTCATGTGCTTTATCTCTTGCAAAATTTGAATTTGCTATACAAAGGAAATTGGTGTTAAAATGAAGTACAGACGGATTACAGTGATCTCTGAATTGCTGTTAGATTTTTGGAGTCTTTTAGAACAGATTTGGTTTATTTTCTAATGTCATGTAGTCAGCTGAGTAATACTTTGCTGAGATGTCTTAAGTGCCCTTATCCTTGCTTTATTCTCTAATGTGCATGCTGCTTTCTGTAAATCTGCAAAATAGCTGATGTTTCTTGTACTGTTTCTCGCTCAAAAGAAAACGTAGTAGCATTTAAATTGTACTTTGGTTGAGGGGGCAAAATGTTTTTGTGTCTTTAGGTGATTCTGAAGTAACAACTTGTTTAAAATTCATCATCAGCTTGCACAGTAGTAGCTAATGCCGTAAACAGTAGTACTGCGCTTGAAGTCAGGTCTTCATAGGGCAGTGTAGGTTCATGCAGACATTCCTAAATGTCAGTTTTCATATTGTGTCATTTGGCAGGTCTAGCATGGTTGATGGTGTGGTAGATAGAACAATGAGCAATGACTTCAGAGACACTAATGTAGTTTTGAGCTGTGCCACTGATACTCACTCAGCCAACTCACTTGGTAGCTTATGCATTGTTTTTGACTGGCCTGTAAATACGGGGTAATGGTACTGGCTTTGCAAAGCACTGACTGAGTATTTTGTGTGGGCTACTTAAGAAGTAGTCATTTAAAAAGGTTGTGTTTTATACCTAGGGTGATTTCAGAGAAGATAATTTTAATACAGCAATGCAAGTGCTTAGAGATGCAGGAGACTTAGCAAAAGGGGACCAGAAGGGCAGGAAAGGAGGAACAAAAGGTGAGTTTGAATCCTGTTCCGAAGTAACTTTGTGTAACACAATAAAGTTGTATGCAAGTTGTGCTTGGGTCTCAATTATTCCATGAGATACTCTTTTGCTAAAATTACATGTAAATTAATGTAATCTCTGCAGGTCCTTCAAATGTTTTTAAGATTGTGAAGATGATCATGGAAAGGAATTTCCAACCTGTGATTATTTTCAGCTTCAGTAAGAAAGACTGCGAAGCCTATGCACTTCAGATGACAAAGTTAGATTTTAACACAGGTACAGATAAATAAGATACAGTTTTATTCACAAATGTAGTTTGATGTGGAATGTTACTCTGGTTAGTTATTTTTGTTTCCTTTGGGACTTTTCATGTAAAAACAAATGAAAAATGGGAAACTGTTAGTGTGGAATGAGTACTTGGTCATAACAATGTTGAATTGTTCCTCTGTTTGAAACATTATTTCTTTCTCAAAAGTCCTCTTCACTGTCGTAATAGAAAAAGAGTTCTTAGAAAATTCTATCTGTAATGGGAGAAGACCGATCATAACAAATGTATTTCCCAAAAATTTCATGTTATGTCCATTAGAAAAGTGAGTATTCTGTCAAAGTCTAAACAACAGCATAACAAACCACTAGACTGTCCTTTCTCAACTATTCAATCCAGTTTCCTTTCTTTCCTTCTTGCCCGTTCTCCTCAAAGAAAAATTCTAATGGTAAACAAAGATGTTTTCATTTTGGACTAAGACCAAGCTTGGAAAATGAGATTAAGTTCAGTGCTTCTTGGAAATGTTAAGAGTTGTAACAAAAATAAGGAATTTGTTGTAAATCAGTGTATCATTTCACGTTTGTGAACTGTTAGGGTTCTTTCTTGCTTATTTACTCCAGTCTTTGCGTGTTCTGGTTCAGTTTTGCAAAATAATGCAGCTGTTTCTGTCAGAAAATGTTAAGATATGCACAAGTGCAGAGATGCATTTTTATATGTTTTCTTCAGTCATACTTTTGAATATATATTCTTGATATTTGTACTATGTAAGTAGAAAAGGTGTAAACTCTGAGAAGTATCAAGGAAGAGGAAGAGCCTCTATGTCCGTTCAGACAGGGACCAGTAGGTAGAAGAGAAACGGGAAGATTTATGATATAGGCAGAAAGTACATAAAACTGAGAATTCCCAAGCTTGGAAATAGCTGAAGTTTCAATTATTCTTCCAGGTTTGTTGTATTTTCATTTTCCCTGAGCATCTACTTCTGGTTACTGTTAGGCTTCCTCAGGCTGACATTAAAGTCTTGACCGTCTGACCTGATGAGGGTGGTTTTGTGTAGTGTTTACAGTCTTCCATGGTATTTTTATTGTAAATATTAGAATGTGGTAATGCTTTATTTACATATGGTAAAAAATTAGCCTTGTAGATTTTGTATAAACTTCTAATTGTGTTCTTAGATGAAGAGAAAAAGATGGTTGAAGAAGTGTTCAACAATGCAATTGATTGTCTGTCAGATGAAGACAAAAAGCTTCCTCAGGTGAGTGGAGTTTGAATAGGGGTAGCTGCTGCTCTCCTGTTTTCTGTAGCTTTGGAGGTTGTGGGTCTTTGGAGTAGTAGGTGGTGGGTACAGAAGTCATGAACTGCATATTTTCATTCATCTCCCTGGGTTTTAATATCTCTTGCGTTACTCCTTGGCATTGCACAATAGGACTCAGTGATTAGGATTCCTTCCAGTTGTGATTCCCGCAAATGACATATGCCAAAATTAACCATGGAGTTCCTATTCTATGTTCGGTTTTGGTGGGTTTTTTTTCTAATTATGTTTTTAAGTAAACTTAAGGGTTTATAAAGGGATATAATAATAATATATAATAATATAATATATAAAGGGGAACAAGGAGGACCCGGGCAACTAC